CAAAGAAAGAAATTTAGCAATAAGGAACTTTGACAATCAAATAAAAGCAACATACCCTCAAATACTAGCCCATACATCATATGATAAATGCCCAGAATTAGAAAACAAACCTTGAGCAAACATTGTTGTATAACCACTTCCCCTCCACAAAGGAATGACAAAATAACAGCTGCCAGGCAAGTAGAGGAATGAACAGCATGAAGAATGGAATCAAATAATGTTGTTGTGTTAACATATAAACATCGAATAAAAGGATTACCAATCTGCAGCTCTTTGCTGCAACAACCGATACAGTTTTGCCTTCATGGACAGACCAATGTGGCCTCTTCCCAAGTGATACTGAAGAAAAAAAACCCACATTTTTACAACAAAATAATTAAGAAATAGTAAGAAATAATGAGCTTAAGATATTCCTCTCATGTCAGAACGAACAACTCTTTATAAAAGCCTAACCATGATTGCCAACAATTGAAGCTGTATTCTTTGACTTATGATGCTTCTAAACCCAATTTTTTAATCTTATCTCCATAACATCTGAACATTTTAAGTTATAAGAAATCTTCATAGGAATTGTTGTATCCTCTAAACAGTTCAAACAGAGTTGGAAAATGGCACAAAAGTATTTGACAAACCCCAACCAAAGAAACTAGCAAGTACACTCCCAAAGGTGTTTGAATTACTAACCAATTGAATCTAATGATTCTAATCACAAAAGATTTTTCATCACAAAAGATTTTTCATCATATGTTTGTTTCATTCAAACGAATGTATTAACAATTTCCCAAGAACCAGCATCCACCATCATTAGTTTATAGTTAATTGGATCAATTTCTATTTTTTGGGGGTCAGCTAGTTAATTGGATCAATTTGTTTCTAGTAATCAAAACAATAACTCTAAGATAAGTAAAAGATGCATAATCTCAAATAAAAGGAACTCCATTTTCCTATCCATTATGAAAAAGGAAAAAACAGAAATACATTCTCATCTTAAATAATCTAAGACCTAAGACAAGATTCACCAATGAAACTGGCACAATATAACTCACAATTAACAGAAAAAATGGATAAAATGGCAAAAATAAATAAATAAATGTTGAAGAAAAGAAAGAATCTGATACATTACATCATCCCAAATGGAAACCAGATCTTCAGGTGACTTGGTCTTTGCTCTCTCAATATCCAGTATGGTCTCAAGTGGCTTAAGCTGCAAAGGGGCGAACCCAGTTGCAAAACTCGAGGTCCTGCAAAAACCAAGGGAACCCCATTTCAGGAAATCATCTGGAATCGCTTCTCTTGTCTGATTTTGGCGCTTGTACCGCAATGAGAAGGTAGCCAAGCTGCGTTTTGGAAGTAAGCAAGATGAAGTCGGCGCTTCGTCTAGGAGATTTCTCAGCGAAGAGAATACGGAGGTTCTCCTGATTCTGGATGATAAACGCTGCATTATACCCAATGAAGACGCCATCACAGAAGACGGTGTGCCCACTCAATGAGCTACGCGCGGAAAGAACAGAGGCGACACCGGTGGACTGAGTCCGAGGGCGGTTGAGGAAACGCAGGACCTTGTAACTCAGATGAAACGCTGCGTTTTGAAGATAAAGTGGTAAACCAAATCGAAGGCCCAAATTCACAGGTTTCAATGAAAAACTTAAGGCCCAGAGACTCGGCCCAAATTCAGATTGTTTCTTCCAGTTTCGTCTCCTTCCTCGTCCCATGGAGGCTGCCGGGCGACGGTCACAGCCCTTTGTTCTGGCGAACGGCGAGCTGGAAAGTTTAAATCCAATCTAGAATTTAGTGCTCGTTTTAATAAAAAATAATAATAATAGAGTAAGGATTTATTTACTTATAAATTTTATATACTGTACTTATATAAAATTTTAAGTATTCATCTTTTTATTTTAAATTATGGTTAAATTTTATTTATATTTATTAAAAATAATTATTTTTTATTTAAAATTTTTTGACAAAACTCAACCATTAAAAATTAAATGATGATATTGATACTATCTAAATTGATCCAATTCAATAAAAAATCAAACAAAACCTATATAAAATTAGGTTGATTTGAATTATAAAATTTTAAAATCAATATAATTAATTTGATTTGTGATTTTAGTTTTGAATTGTCCGATCACAAAATAAAATATAATTACAAGATAATTTAATTAAATAATATAATATTTTTTGTATTATTTTAAATTTTATTTTTCTTGTTTTACAAAATAATAACTCCATTACTCTAATTAAAAAATTAAAATAGAACATTCCCATATTCCTTAATTTTATGTTTCCTTTTTAATCATGTACTTTAACTCTAAATCTAAATTCTAATTTACCTGCAACCCTGAGCCTCATAATTGTTATGCAACTCTATTCTTAAAATCTTAAACTTCTAATTTGTTTTTAAAATATTATTTTAATACCCTTAGCTAAACTTTACAAAAGTATCATTTGGAAAGTCTTAAAACTACATAATAGTACTAGTCTTGGTATTTTATTATTTTTGGATGTTTGGTTGAGAAGTTTTAAATTTTAATTATGAATACTTCTAATCAATTTTAGTGATATTCATGCTAAATTTTATTTACCTTTAACAAGGTTTGAAATATAGAATTGAATCATTGGTATATTATAAAAAAGAATTAGTTTTATTTTTTAAGAATTACTTATATTGTACTTGAAATTTGGAATCATTTTTATTGTTCTTGGTGCCTTTGATAATATAACCAAGAAGAATTTTTAAATCTTTTCAATCTCTACAATTGTAAAAAAGTAAAGGAATGTAAGAATTTATTTATAATTGGTGTCTTTTATTATATTTTTATTGATTTAGATGTTCATGTATTTTATAATTATGTTTTTTATTTAATGTTAAAATGTTTACATTATCTCATATATTCAATAATATTAAGAACTAATCAATCTGAATCAAATCACACTAATATGATGTAAGTTAAATTGATTTTAGTTATCATATAATAATGAATTAGATTTATTTAAAAATTTTATTAATTGATTAAATTAAATTAATTTAAAAATTATTAAAATTCAAACTAAATTGTACAATAAACATTTTTAAAATAATTAAAATTTTATATAAATATTATTTACGAAATTTATAACTGAATGTATCTCTTTTAATAATAATAATAATAATAATAATAATAATAATAATAATAGATAAAGGAGAAATGAACTGCATTTCACTTCCTTGTTCTTGGTGAGAGTTTTGGTTTCCAATGTCAAGAATCAGGATTCAGGATTGAGAAATGAATTAAAAACATAATGGAGGAAAGGTCATCAACTTCAGTAAACACAATCAGATTAAAGTTTGACTTGATTCCAAACCCAGAAAAAGGTGTTTGAGACCTGAGAGACATTGTGTTGACAAAATGTGAGAGGGACAAAACAACGTTGGCCAAATGCTGCTCTTCTTTATCAAAAAAATAAAAAAAATAAAAGCTGCTCTTACTGACTCTTGAACATTGGTCCTTCAAAAAGGTCATCAAAGCACTAAGTGGGTTCCCTGTGTCACCAACCTGTTTACCTTTAAAAGTTCCCTGAATCCCCTTTTTCTCAAATCCATGAATGAAACGGTACCAAAAGTGAAGCAAGGGCATGAGCATGAGTATGGTGGTCCACAACCCCACAGTCCACACAGCCTTTACTGCAATCATAGCAAAAAGAAAGAAGAACAAAAAAAAAAAAAACTGTTTATAAAGTAGCTATAAAAAAAACAGGGTTATAAGTAGTAAAAACAGTCTCAGATGAATCTGGAATAGGGAAAAAAAGGGTTATTAGATATTAATGGTAGGTCCTTTTTGGCTCGTTGCACATGCCTTGCATTTATATACTTATGTTTGGAGCAAGTGGGGGTTCACTCCATGGCCGTCAACTTTGCTCATGCTCAGCCTTTGTATTTGATATTCGTCAGCCACCTTCTGTATTCCTTTCCTCAATTTATTTACATGAAAGCAGAAGAAAAGCAGAAGAGATCCTATTGCCCTAATGTTTTCCCTTAACAATTTGAATATCATGTGCATCAAGGACACCCATTTGAAAAAATTGGTATTATCTAGAAAAATTTTTTTTTTTTGGACAATTCTCATTTTCAATCTCCCAATTGTACTAATTCAAAAAAAAAAAAAGAAAATTACTTATCAGGACCCGTGACCGTCATCTGAATCATCAATCCAATTATTGCTTTTATAGATAAAGTTTTATGTTTTACGATTTAAATTTTGCAAGACTGTAAAGCATGAATCTAACGAGGAAGAAGCCCCGATTACCAAAGCGAAGGGTTGTGATTCAGCAGAACCCCAAATTTCCAAACAGTCACATCAGAGATCCACGAACACTACAGAACAATATGACTTCAAGAGGCCTTCTTTCATCCCATGTTAGCTTTGGTCCCCTCTCTCTCTCTCTCTAGCATAATCCTTCACGGGTGTTGATTCTTTTTTTTTTTTCTTTGACAAGAGGGTGTTGATTCTCTCTGTAAAGATTCAAACTTTCCCACCTGGCCTGGTTCATACTTTCATATTTTCTCCTCTACCATAGCTTTCTTTGTCCTGAGGCTGCACAATATACAACCATGCCTGTCCTTTTACCATATTTTCTTCCGCCCGCTCTTTTCACGGGTTTGCTCGTTTTCCTGCTCATACTCAATTCTGAAGCCAAAACCACGAACAACACTCGTCCGGCCAGTCAGCTTTCCATTGATTACTACTCAAAATCCTGCCCTCAAATTGAGCAACTCATAGGCTGGATCATCTCTCAACAATTCAAAGAAGCACCTGTCTCTGCTCCAGCAACCATCCGCCTCTTCTTCCACGATTGCTTTGTAGAAGTAATACAAAATCTACAGCATAGATTGATACACTTTCATGGGCGGAGTAATTTAGGAGATAACTAATGGAAATTTCATTATTGTAGGGCTGTGATGGGTCTATACTCATATCCACGAAGCCTGGAAGCAATGTGTTGGCTGAGAAGGATGCAGAGGACAACAAGGACCTAAGGATGGAGGCCTTTGAAACTATAAAAAAAGCCAAGTCCTTGGTGGAGAGCAAGTGCCCTGGAATTGTATCCTGTGCAGATATTCTTGCAATTGCAGCCAGAGATTTTGTCCACTTGGTTTGCTCCTCCCCTTCATCCTTGTCTCTCCCTTCCTTTTAACTTCTCTATAGCAGTCAGTTTATTCATTTTCCGCAAAGAGCAACAATTGACAGGACAGGCACAAAATTCATGTTTTCAAGTGCATGTTTTGTAGTTTACAATCAAACTTGTATGAAGAACAGACATAACTCTGCTGCCAATTTGTCGTAAGCTGATCTCAACAGTTTTCTTTGCCAGAGATCTCAACTGTTGAATATTCAATCTCCAAGATTCCTTATCAATTATTAATTAGGATATTTTTTTCTTCTTATCAGACCAAAACAAAAAACAAAAAATCACACTGAGAGCTTGAATAGGGCTCTATTTCAAGCAACTGCTTCCAGTTAACTAGAAACTAGCTAAATTAAATTTCTGAGTGTTAGCCAGTTGAAAAAGAAAGCCTTTTTTTTTTTTTTATCAAAATTTTGGTTAACAGAAAATACCCTTTTGTTGGTACAGGCAGGAGGGCCTTACTACCAAGTGAAAAAGGGTAGGTGGGATGGGAAGGTATCAATGGCGTCTAGGGTTCCCTCCAATCTTCCTCACGCAAATTCAACCGTCGACCAGCTAATCAATCTCTTCAGCTCCAAAGGGCTAGCCCTTGATGACCTGGTAGCGCTCTCCGGCGCACACACGATCGGGTTCGCCCACTGCAAACACTTCCTGAACCGGCTCTACGATTACCGGAGCACCAAGAAGCCGGACCCGACCATCGACCCCAGATTCCTTAAGGCTCTGAGAATGTCGTGCCCACATTATGGCGGCAATGCCGACATCGTTGCTCCATTTGATGTCACCACTCCATTCTTGTTCGATCATGCCTATTTTGCGAACCTGGGGGCTAATCTGGGATTGCTGGCCTCAGATCAAGCTCTGTTTTTGGACCCCCGAACAAAGCCCCTGGTCCAAGCTCTGGGCAAGGACAAGCAGAGGTTCTTCCAGGCATTTTCGGTGGCTATGGATAAGATGGGGTCGATGGGGGTCAAGACGGGAAGCAGCCTCGGAGAGAAGCGGAATGACTGTGGTGTACACGCTTGAATTCTTCCGAATCTCTCTCACAAATTTTTTTTTTCAAAGAGAAAAAATTCAAGAAATTAAGTAGAGTATTATTCTATTTTTTGTTAGAAATATATATATATATATATTTGAGTTCTACCTCTTACTTGGTTTTTTCTTTTTCTTTTTTTTAAGTACTAAACCAATTAACATATAATTCACGTCTATAAGGTCATTCAAAAAAAAAAAAAAACACCTTATATAAGAGTTAGTTAACTTTCGATTCAATTATCAATAATTTAAATAATTTAGTGATAATTTCATTTCAAATTACATGATATATAATTGAGATAAAATAAAAAATAAAATAAAATTACTTCTTATTATGTAACCAATATCAACCAAAAAAAAAAAATAAACCCTCAATTCAATTAGTTAAGTATTTTAATAATATGAGTCAATCTTTAGTCTATTGATCTTGCTCTTCGTATCTCGAATTTATGCAGATTGGATTGAAAAAAAAAAAATACATATAAAAAAATATGGCAAAAATCTATGGCTAGCCCTCCACCTTACTGATTTTGAAATAGTCAGCCCTTTAACTTATAATATGAAAGTTTTAGTCCCTCATCCTTTTTGTCTAAATGAAAAAACCCAAAATAGATGGAAGTGTTGTATGCTTGTTAAAATTCCATTACTCATTGTCATGTCAACTCTAACGTGGCAATTTCTTACTATCATGGATTGTTATTATAAACAATAAAAACTAAACTTAATAAGCAGATCAAATTGAGTAAATTCGAATTAGATCACCTCAAATTTGGAATTTATTAGGTTTGATCATTTTGGATTTTGAGTTTGAGAAGTAGACCCATGACTCATTCTTAGTCAAGTGAACCCAATTTTTAAAAAATAATAATAACATTTTAATATTTTTTAGTTTTTCTTTAAAAATTTTAATATTAATTAATTATTTAGTCAAAAAAATCTTTTAAATCAATATTAACACTAATAATCTAATAAGTAATTATTATTTTATAATATTTAATTTTATTTTATATTTAAAAAAAATTAAAAATATAATTAATCAAAATTTTAAAATTAAAAAATTAATTAACTTTAGTTGGATCATTTCAAGTTAACCCAACTCAATTCTGACTTAAGTCAATTAAGTTCAAATAATTTTGGTCTAAATTATATATTGATACTTTAAAATTTTAAACTCATAACCTTATATATAACGAATATATTGGATCAAAATTTTAAATATAGTCCAATTTTACCAAGTTTAATAAAAACAAAAAAACTATATCCTTGACACAATGGTTGTTATTATGGCAAGGAATTGCCACATTGGTGGTGTTAACATGGCAATAGTCAATGAAATTTTAATGAGCACACAATGTCACTATTCATTTTTGGGTTTTTTTTATTTAGGTTGAAAAAATGAAAGGCTAAAACTTTTACATCATAAGTTGAGGAACTGATACTCTCATAGTCAGTAAGCTAGAGGGCTGACCATGGATTTTCGCCTAAAAAATATTCTCGAAGCCCAATTCCAATATTGCCGGCGACTAGAGCTGCAAAGTGGGTATAATTTGTAAGGGCCTGCTAGCAATAAAGGCAATGCATTGTCTCTGCATCTTCCCTCTCCCTTGCTTCGCCTCCTTAACAGCACCCAGCTTAGCCTCTATAACACCACTCACCAAAATCAATCACCGGAACCTGCAAATCAAAGCCATGAGAGCGGTAGTCCAGAGGGTCGTCTCTGCCAGCGTCGAGGTCAGTATAAAGCCAACCCCTTTTTCTATTTCATTTACCAGAGCTATCCATCACAACCAAAGTAAGCATTTTTTTAGGTGGATGGGCGAATCGTGTCGGAAATCGGACCCGGTCTACTCGTGCTCGTTGGAATCCACGAATCCGACACCGAAGCCGATGCCGATTACATGTAAGAAACACTTTCGTTTCTGTTTCCTGTTTAGTAAAGATTTTTACTTTGTTAATGATGGAAGCAAAGTCGTAAAATTTCTGCAGTTGCCGTAAGGTTTTGAACATGAGATTGTTTCCTAATGAAAGTAATGGCAGAGGATGGGACCAGAATGTAATTCCTCCTTTCTTTGCTCCTCTGTGAATAATTTCTTAGTTCTCTCTGTTTAGGCTTTGTAGAATGTGGTTTAGTTAAGTTCTAATTGATGAGAGTTCCATTTCTTGATAATTTTCAGGTTATGCAGCTTAATTATGGAGTTCTTCTTGGTAATCTCCTTATCATGACCGTTGATAGAATCCCTCGCCCTTTAGATTTTATTTGTGAAATTGGAGAGAAGATATCCTTTGGTGCCTGCGCTTAATAATTTAAATAGTACTCTGATTCTGTTTCCAGTTTTTGTTTAGGGAATTTTCTTTAAAATGTTAAATATTTTGAGTTCTGGATTCTAACTTCTTTGTTTGGAAATACAGTGAGTCAATTTACATTGTATGGAATCTTGAAGGGTAACAAGCCAGACTTCCATGTGGCAATGCCACCCCAGAAAGCAAAGCCGTTCTATGAATCCTTAGTTGATAAATTCAGAAAAGCTTACAAACCAGATGTGATAAAAGGTCACTTGCTTCTTCCATTAATTTGCATCTTCATTGCATTATTTTAGTATATGCAGTGCTTGTGCTTTATAACTTGTATTAGTGGTACCAACTAGCTGTTTTTTTGATAAGGAACTTTGGCAAAGGATATATTTGTTCAGATGGCATGGTTTTGGTGGATCATATGATTGTTGTGCTCATATGTATTGTCAAGTATTGAATTTCATCCTATGCAATGTTATTATACAAGTTATTTCTGGTACAATATCAATTAATGTAATTGAAGCCATGTTAGATGTATGAGGAATGCTAAGGACACTTTCTCTAACACTCTCCTTTGGACACTCTTCATGTGATTGGGACACGTGATATAAATTTAATGTAATTGGTCATAATTTCAAATTTTAAAAACATTAACTTTAATTGCAATCACTAATCACCAATCACATTAAAAATTATATTCCCTGCGGCCTAATCAGATGGAAAATGTTCAAAAGAGAGTGCTAGAGAGAGCATTCCTAGGACTTCTCTAGATGTATTTACTGGTGTCGACATGTAATTGAAGCCATGTTACCTAAGTGTTATAAAAGATAAGGATAGGTTTAATTGAGCCATGTGAAGAAGGAAACAAAAGAGAAGAAAAAAGGAGCAAGATGACCTACGTTTGGTTTTGTGTGATTTGTATGGCTGCTTTTTGATTCACTTAAGGCTCATGGTTATCCTCTATTGTCCTCCTCTAAGTTTGAGGTATTAACTTTTTTTTTTTTGGGGGTGCATATATTCATCAAAGAATTACATCTATTTAGCCAAAATGAATTCTTGTTCTTTATTAATGATTAAAGTAGCAATTGTCTACATCTTTTGGCATTTTCATATCCTTCTCGTTGCATTTGTTAAAATGATTGGTTTCCAATATTTAATTTGGCATAACTTAGGATGCTTTTTATCAGCTATAATTATGTTGCAACAGGTAAATAGCCTATCAAAGTTGAATAAAATTTAATCGATAAATCAATAAATAAAGTATGAAGTTAAATGTTTGCAATGTAAACATCAAAGACAAAAAAATTTTAAGGTGTTTTGATCAAAATAATGATTTCTCAGAGCCAAAGATGTCCCATGTAATGCAATTTATTTTCTAGACAAGAAATTGTCTCATTTTTCTTCTCTTGACTCTTTTTGTTTGGTGTAGATGGAGTTTTTGGAGCAATGATGAAGGTGAGTTAGCCTAACCCAGTGTTCTTTTTCCTTTCTAATTGGCATTACTTTTTCTAGGATACTTCCTGACTTAGACCTTTTAACTTGTGTGAACTGTGAAGGTTAATTTGGTTAATGATGGGCCAGTGACAATGCAACTCGAAAGTCCTTCACAACCATCAAAGTCAGTATACTGAGTGATCTGGTTAACTGGTTGATATTGAGTATCATGATAAAATTGTATTCTACATTTCAGCTTGAAACATTTCAATAACTTATTATCTACCTTTTCAGGAATACAAATGAGGAGGTAGAAGAATCTTAACTGGCTGATTACTGGGGATTGGCAGACAAACACTGACAAACCAATGTTCCTAGCATGAACAAGAACCACATTTTTATATAGCTTTGTGGGATGTAAGATCATAATTTATTACATGTTAACTTTTGACGTGTTATCATTCTTTTTATGGTGTATTACATGTAAACAAGACTATTCTCTTTCTCTCTCTCTCTCGTTCTTCTTTTTTAAAGAGGAGGCAAATGGGTAAACTTGATTATTCTTGTGAAATAAAATTATATCAAACGATAACTTTAATGTCTTTTTGCAGAACCGATAATTTTGCAAGAGATTTTAGGGCGGCAAGGAAGAAAATATTCAAAATATTCGCATACCTACAGAGATCCATCATAACAAAATAGGAGAAGCAAATATTAAATGTTGGTAGAGCCAGCACATGATAAAAAGACTAAATATCCTCACATTTACAAGCTAACCAACAGTTTTGCTCAAAAAAATTGCCTTTAGGACAGGATCCTATGAAAGAAAATTTTAGCAGCCCCTTCTGAACTCCTATGAAGTTGATGAGAGGATGGTAGCTGCTGCAAAAAGTGCTTCCTTTCCAAAAGGCAAAATTTCAATGTTCCTGCAACATGACATATGTGATACAGTTGTTCAAGGAAAAAAACGCAGTACTAATTACACTGTCATATTATTGACTCGGTTATGTTCTTATTCACAATAAAGAATTAGCCCAACATATTCACTGATCAACAATCCTACTTCTTATGGGAAAAAATTCTTGTTCCTTTCTTTCTAAATTCCCACATTTTACATTTCACTTTCCAGAATTCAGTAAACCTGAAGTCCTAAAATGATATCAACTTAAATGAGGAAAAAAAAATATCATTAAATAATATAATTGGCAAAAATTTTCACTAGCAAATTGAACTCTGATGTAAGAGAATCTTACTCATCTACTGTTTTCAGACTGTTGAAAGCAGTAGTTATATTCTTGCATATTTCCATAATAGAGCCGCCTATCAGTTCTTTGCAATCAGGCGTGTCCTCAATATGTTGCTCAGATGGCATGGACAAGAGAGCCTGAAAACAAAATAAAGAAACTTTAAGCAGCCCAAAATGATACAGATGGTAGATGAAAACACTATTGCCACATTTGAGACCACAGGATATTGATGAATGACAATAAAATATTAACGGCTGTTTTTGAACAGCATAGTTACCAAAGAATAATACATAAAAACAATGCCAATTAAGAAAATAGAAACATGAACTTATTAACTGGAATATGTTAATAACAAGAATCACCAGTAAAGCATGTGCCAGAAGCAATTGAACTACATCCACACTGATTTTCTTTACAATGTTTTTTGTGCTGGTACCATTTGAAAAGCACTTCAAAATCCCATTCAGTGATAAGTCTTCAGAAGATCCATTTGATCTCCGAGTGCGAACAGAAGGCTACATAACAGCATAAGATTATGTATATGTTATAAGCAAGGGGAAAATCTTGCTTGTATACATGATCAATTAAAATATTCATCTTAACTAGTTTAACATTTGAACTACTCTAAAGAAATAAACAACAAACCTTAGGGATGTATTTCCTAAAGAACTGCAAAATAATTTCGAGTTTCCATCTAGGCTCATCAAACACCTGCAGAAACAATGTTCATCAGTGGAACAATAAAAGCTTGAGTGAACATTAAGGTTTCCTAAACAAAAATAATTAATTTCAATCAACCAACAAAAATGAAACCATTTAGAAAGGCTAAGAAATGCTGATCATGTAATATAAAAACAGAATACTTGTTTAACTATCCCCTAGATTTCCTAAGCAACATAATTATTTTTCTCGGATGCTACTTCAGGAATTCTACAGATCCAAATGTCTACATTATGCAAATGTTAAGACAAATGGAGATAGGATGGAATTTTGAAGAATATCCTGATTCCTGAAGACTACCTGAAGAAATGGAGAGAGCAGATCTCTGTCATAAGTAAGCTCATCCAGAATTATCTCTATAAGTGGGGTTCTGCAGAAAATCCCAGTAGGTCATTATGTAATATAATATATAAGCAGAAAAAGAAAAAGAAAAAGAGCTAAAATCATCATATCACACAATCTGAAAAGGTCCATAAGCTCACACAAGTACCTTGCTCCATCAGATCTGGTAGTGAGACCTTCCATGTCTGCTTGCTTCTTTGACATGTCAAGTTCCATAATCTGAAGAGTTCCATGAGATTAGCAATGATGAAATATGTACGGAACAATGGAAACATCCTTAACTAAATTATTGGTCAGGAACTCACCATTCTGAGAAGCTTCTGCATAGCAGTACAAGTCTTCTTTCGTAATTCAGGGAAAGCAATTGCCATAGCAGTACTGTAATCATATGAATTTTCCATAGAACTCTTAGAAAGTTCAGAACTGTCACTGGCCCCACCAAGATCTTGATAGAGTCCACAGAACTTGAACAAGCAATCTTTCATTAAAGCTTTATAGCTGATTCTTCTTGAACCCTGGAAAGTAAATTTCATGTTAACAACCATAATAAATATTGCACCAAAAATCATTTCCTGACTAGGTTGTTGCCTGTTGGATAATTCAAGATAAAAGAAAAGTAGAAGGTCTCGAGAGTTGAGGCTCACCAGTAATGCGTTAAGCAGACATTCCTTCAAAAGGTTCCAGTTCGATGTTTCTGCAAAATATAAAATATGAGCTCCTACACCTTCCAGATGATAAAACAGTAAAAAATATATACAAGCTTACCTTTATACATAATGTTATGAGGCACAAAATCTCCTTCAATAACACTCACAAGGTACTGAAACAGCAACAAATTACCAAGGCACTGCAACAATATCGTGTCAGAACTAAAGAAAGTAATAAATTTATGCTCATTTAGAGAAGCAAAATTCAATTAAACAGTTATTAATAGTTAATCTGATGTTAGTGTTGGACAGTGTTAAATCTCCACACTTGTCAGGAAAAAAAAAGAGATAAAAGTAAAAATCCAACAAAAACAAACTCAGGCAAGAGCTTAATTAAACTGCATTACAAATTTCAAATGATCACATATAAAATGAAAAGTCATCCATTATGTTTTCTCCAGTGGCACAGTTGAAAATGTTTCTCAGCCAATGGCTAGTGATGTTGAATTATGTTGAACAGGACTCTTCATCAGCTGGGAGTGGAG